CAGCTTTTCAATTTCTCATAACTTTGTTTTTTTTCCCTTTTGGGTAACCCTTTTTTTTTTGTGGCGTGGAAAAGCTTTGTATAGTAGAATCATACTTACAAAATGGTGTTATGGTGTGTTTGATGGGGGTCTAATTTAGTTTAATAATAATGATATTATGATTGTTCAGTATTGAAATTAATTTTGTTATTTGGAGTATCAAACTATCTTCATTCTTATTTTATTATTTGGACTAATTTAGTTTATTTTGGATTTTCAGGAAACTAAATTTAGTAGCTGATTGGATTGCTGATGTATATCCCAATTAACGCTTTTTATGTTCTTTTAGTGTGTGACGTTGAACTTATTTATTTTTGATGCTTTTGTTTCACTGCTTTAATGTGACTTCATTCATATTTTTTTTTTCACATTTTTTAAATGTTTGAATTTGAAACTCCCTCCTGTTCTTTAATTGTGCTTTATCGTCTTCATCACTTCTCTCTCTTCCTCCTGCGTAAAAAATAGATCTCATATTTAAGACCGGAAGAGTAGTCGTTAAACTGAAAGATCTGCAGATGTAGATTGTCAGTCGATGGACTAGACAAAGAATGGAGAAAATTAAATTTTTTGAAGTTCTTTGTAACACAGTTAGCGAAGAATTACGAGAAAGCTTATGGGTTTACTCCAATGCTATTCCCCCAACTTTCAGAATATACTAACCGCGTTTTGGAAAGTTCCTGCGGTATTTTGCAAATATCTATGGAAATTAAAAGTTTTCCCTGAAATGCCTTGAGTATAATGAAATTATTTTTTAAAAAAATTAATTTTTATTACTTTAAAAATTTGTTATTTAATTATTTAATTTTTAAGTGACAAAGAAGTAATGATTTTTTACTTAATTAGATATTGAAAATTCACCGTCTTCTCAAATTGGTTCTCATTTTGTTTTATTATCTAAGTTTAGAATTTGGCAAATAACTAGAGCGTAAGTGAAATATAAGGTGAGATCTTGTATCAAAAAAAGAAACATAACTGAGATCACGAGATAATGTAATGATCTCAATTCTAAAATACATCAACACAATGGAATCATCAGCATATATTTAATATTCAATCCAGTTATAAGTATAGGCATATGAGAATACATTAACAAACTGATAGAAACAATGGAAAGATACAGAGGAGAGGGAAAGAGACGGAAGTTACAGAGATAGGATTCCGTTCTCACTAACCCTCCTCCGCATATATAGCGCTGCTTTCATATTGTTGAGATTCCATTCGGTTACTGCTAACAGAATCATGCAAAGGCACCATACTTGTTGGGTGATCGTAAGCCACGTGTCCTCTTTGGGTCCCACTAATATTTGGCAGGATCATGACAGATAATTACATCATTTTAATTGTCACATTCTTGAACGTTATATAAAGTTTAATTAGTATCTATGATCGATATCGGGAAAACAATGTAAAATTTGTATGGGTCTATATATATATATATATAGTGCCGCTGTGATTCTCTTCATTTTTTGATAATAGCAATTTCTTAACTTCAAAATACAGGGAATTGTCAGGGTCGTCACATGCTCACAGCTCTGAAACATAATATACACCACCAACAACAAAAATGCTCCTGTTCCATTGGATGGAGTTTGAAACACAAATTTTATTTTTCTTTGTTTTCATTATTTTACCCAATTAAACTAAATAAATTAAAAACATTTAATTTATTTTTATAACATATCAAACGCAATTGTTTTTTGATAAAAAATATTTATATTTTCATTCTTATAATTATTCAGATTCTCATTCTCACTTCACTCATTTTTATAAACCAAAATAAACATTAATCAATTGTTCACTTTATGTGAAGAGTGGTCTCAGCCTTGTTTGGGGTGGAAAACAACCATTGTTCACCTAATATAAAATTATCTAATTTATACATACCAATAAAATAATTTTAAATAATTTTATGTCTTGAAACATCTTTCCATCATTATACGTACTCTTACCCCCAACTGGTACTCTTAATTTCTTAGCTAAATTTTTCAAGCAAAAGTGAATATCAGGGAATTGCAAAGATATTCGCCATAACAAATCTATGCCTTGATGACCATTCCCTCAATTGCTTGGCCTCTACATCTAATGCACGCACTCGATTTTAGGAAGTTGTAACTATACGTACGTTCATTAACCAGTGTTGCCTGTCAAAAAGAATTATCATTTTAAATTACCAAAACAGCATATGAATCTCAGGGAACTCAAGTGCAAATACTTTCATATCCCGGAAGGACAAAAGGAAAAAAATTAGAAAACGAAATGGACCAACATGCATGTGCATCCTATATGTTCCTTTTGCTCTCTTTCCTAAGAAAGAGACGACCAAGCCCATTGGAATGGTGTGACCACAAGGACCGACCTATGGAGAAAAGATTCAAAAGGCAAAATCACCAAATAAGATATTTAAAGGACAAAGTAATTAACCCTAGTATTTCAAGATTACAATACATATACATCTCGAAAGCAATCCACAGTTGCCAGCCACTGCCCATCAGAACGGGTAAACATTCTTATCATGGGAGGTTCGTGTAGGAGGTAACATCTCATCTTGCTCCTAATCTATGACCAAACCCCACGCATACAGAGATAATGGCTCAGATTGTCCTTTCACTTTTGATAACCACATGCCAGCATGATTACTTGAAAATGAAATTAGAAGTTTATAGTACAAACATATATACTAATTTGGCTTCAAATATCTGAGAAGACTACAGAATGGCGATCACCAAATGATAAATAGTATAACAAAAATTAATACAGCTTTCACTTTGGAACATCTGACTCGTGCAGCACAGAACACAAAACACTACAGTTGAAAGAGGCTCACAAAAGGTGTAGCCACATCATGCAGACAATCACACTTCTCAGTCAAGAGATGGACTATGGGGCAAGCATCAATAAGAAATCACCTATCAAAGAAATGTAATGAGTCGCCATATTTTACCCAAAAAAAAAATACAATTGGAGGTTCACAAAGACAATTTGAAAGGAAAGGCTTGTGCCAGTTTAGTCTATCCCTCGGACATGCCTAACTACAATCAACCAAGAGGAAAATATCATAGAATAAGCAAATGGTAGTCTACCAGGGAGTTGCCTGTCCCTAGCACTCCATGTATTTTTCCCAACTTCAGGCCTCCTCAATTCAAATAGATTAGGCTTCACATGAATGGAGTATGCAAATATCACACCTGAATTAGCAATGGTGCTGCAAATTATCTCCCGTGATGACTCGCTCTTAACTTGGACAAGCAGATCAGTTTCTGCAAAGCCTCCGGCTGTGACATGTGTAGCATCAGGGAAGAAACCTTCTTTTGGTTGTACAGAAAGAACATCTCAACAATATGAGAAGACTGCACTATAAGCATTGCTGATTCATTGGACAATGAGCCCTTCTACTCTGCTTATCCGGCAAGCGATCTGTCAAAAATAAGCACAGAAAAAATGAACAGAATCAGTGAATGAAATTGAGACCAACAAAATATAAGGTTTTATTCACATGCTTAGCAAGGGATATACAAATTGTCTCTAAAGAAATGATGTAGAAATAAAATCCAAGGACACACCTCGACAGATTGGTACTGCCCCAGTGGAGGCACTGGCTGCATGCATGTGAGGACTCAGCATAAACATAGATCCATTTCTTGAGCAATTTTTTCACATACGCTTTATTCACAGAATATAGAAAGAGACTTCTGCAACATATAATACAGAAAGCAGGCATCAGTTTGAAAATTTTGTAACACAAAGAAAGAAGATGTTAAAATCTAAATGCGTATGGTTTACATATCTAGCGATGACCAAAACGAGCAGGGGAATCATGGACAAGGAATATGCCCTTCATATTTAACATGGCTCAAAAGAATGGGAGTTGGCAGTGATCAAACTAGTGACTAATTAGTAATTGGTCATAAAGACTTTAATACCATGTCATGGACAGGGAATATGCCCTTCATTAGCAATTTTGTTCAGTTAATTTCCTGTCTTTCAGTAGATATCCACACCAACTACTGCGATCTGACCTAAAACAGAAACAACCACCAAGAAAGGTTTTCACATAAAAGATAGCCAGAGAGTACTCCAGTTTCAAAACTAACAAAGTAATAATAGTTGACATACAAATTGAAGAATCAAATATTAAACACTCCCAATTCCGAGACCTCAAAGCCCAGCTGTAATTCTGTGGATTTCATAACCCAATGTAGCGTGGCCAGCATCGTATCAAGCTGTGAGGAAACAAAGATGGCTGAGAATTGTGAACATATTTCACCTAGTAGTGCTAAAAATCAAAGTTTTGATGCTTCGACAAAACACAGAAGTATTGGATCATTAAGCTGCTTTTTCTACTTCATTGTTTGCAGTAAGCTGGCCACACATTCATATCATGGCAGACATTTATACCGGCAAAAAATGACCCAAAACTTTCACATATTCATATCATTAGCATTTGTACTCCAAGTGATACCTAAAACTCGTCCTGAAATTATATGGAACTCATTTAATAGAAACCTGGCAGAGTACATAAAGAATCTATAGCAAGCCTCATGATTCGGGAGAAGAAATCTCACCATTGACCCCAGATTTGACGATATGGACGTAGGTACAGACTTTGATTTTCTTAATGATAAATTTCTCTTGGCATAACAAAAGGCCATTTATCCTAAGTGTACCTAACAATGATAAAATCCGGCTCCTTTTACCATAAAAGAATGAATTTAAAAAGAAAAAAAGAAAAAGAAGACATTCTTGTCACTATTTCTCTTATATTTAAAGGTTAATAAATTTTATTCCCCATGATTGTAATTAGTTGGTACAAACCAAAAAGAGGTACTATGAACAAAAATCATATCTACCACTGCTCAAACAAGAGTACGATACCTTTTTGAAGTGAGTGGGAGCCACATGTGTATGCATCATTCACCTTGGGAGCTTTAAAACTCAAAATCATTTCTCCAAATTCATCCAAGCTAGCTGCGATATTTGCGCTTTCGAGAGGCCACTTCCATTGCATTAGAGCCCGGCTGAGGAGGCAATGGCAATTGAATTTGTTTAATGTCACCATCTTGATATTCAACTGCAGATGTTGGGCATACTCCACACCTTTTGATCTCTGTTATTCTGTCATGATCCGAACGAACTTCGAATTTAACTTTAAGCTCCATGTTGCTCTGACCATTTCTTTTCCTTTCTTCAATTTTCCTTTTCAGTTCTCCAAGTGAATCAGGAACACACCAAAGACCAACATGCCAAAGATCAATATCCTTGAAGAGCCCCGGCGGACCCAGGTAAAGCGACACTTTACCGGCCCTGCAAGCATATTTACCATCAATAAACCATTTGGCATCAATGTTTTCTCCCACAACTGATGGTAATTTAGAAAAGACGGCGCAAAAAAGGAATCCCCCATCCTCAGAATTTGGAATCGAACTGAGATTCACAGACACCGAAGACCCTTTATCCCTATACATGAACCACTTTGGAACTCTTTTTCCTGGATATTCCAATCTAGCATAGCCATAAGTGGCTTTCTTTATCCCAAGTAGCATTCTTGCCTCAGCAGCTTTGATTGCCCGTCGATTCAGGTTCTTGCAATTTGCGAAAAAAAACCACAGCGATTCCTTGCCTTTTCCTTCTTCACCTTCGTTTGTCAAAGGTGAATATTGCATGGTCTCAAGGGATATGCAGTCAGCGGCACTCAATTGCAAGATCGAGGGAGGGAGCTCTGGTAGACAACGAAGCCTTTCACATTCATCCAGTCGAAGACGTTGCAGGCGTGAAAGATGTTTGATGCTCGAAGGCAAGGTCTCTACATGAGTCCCTGAGAGATTTAAGTTACGTAATGATGACAGCAACCTGATGTCATTAGGAAGTTCAGATAATTCATTGCAATGCGCAAGCGATAGAACTTGCAAAGCACCCATCTTATCACACTTGGACAGGAGACGTGATGCGAGCTCATTACACCCTTCAGCATAAAGATCTCGAACGCCACGCAGCTTAATCAACTTGTGAACGCTTGTCACTTTTCCGCAATCGGCTAGATCTAATGAACAAATTTTGCTGCGATGCCCACTTGATGAGCGCAACGCACCCCTGATGGCAGCTCGTGAAAGTCGTAAATGGAGCTCTTCATTTTCTGAGGTCACTGAAAATTCCTTCAGACGTGAGCAACTACTTACATCGAGCTCAATGAGAGATTGGAGATGGGTAACGCTTGTAAGGCTGGTAAGGGACTTGCAAACGGCTAGCATTAAACGACGCAGGCTGAGCAGAGATAAAATAGATGGATGTACACTCCGCAATTCTGGGCACCACAGGAGACGAACATGTTCAAGACTTGTGGCCTTGGAAAAATCTGGGAGTTCAATCAACTCATTTGAAAAAGAGAGATCAATTTTCCTTAAGTTCACAAGATTCTGTGAAAACATAAATTACATGATAAGATTGGCGGCCAAAACCAAATTAAATTACTCATCTATTTCTTTTTATAAGGTTTCGCTCTCTGTTTTCGTCAGAAAATTAGTTGAAATTAGCTATTGTCAACAAATTTTACAACTTTTCATGATCTTAATCAATACTCCCTCCGATGGTAGATATCAAATAACTAAATCACATAACTTGAATAAAATTAGTTAAAGATAATAAATAAAAAAAAGAAAACGCAACTTATTTTCTTGTAACACGTTTGTTTATGAAGAGGATAAGTGAGAGAAAAAATATGTAGAAAAAGAGATATGAGAGAATAAGTGGAGAAAAAAAAAAAAGAATTAGAAAGATATATAATTAATTAAAAGTAAAAATAAAAATGATGTATTTAATGATTAGGTAAATCCAAATTATAACTTACAAAAAAAAAAAAAGGCTTCAAAGATTTGATGCTTATAGTTCAACAGGGAAAGTGATCTTTATAAGATAATGGAGCTTAGTGTGAGGGTGAAAGACGAAGGCATTTATTTAGAATGGGATATCAATATTTCATTGAATTTTGTAAAAGATTTTATCTGGACCTCATAAAAAGGGCTGAGCGGAGCGTATTTAATGAAGATTTTCCAACTAATGTATTAACAAAATTTTGTAAGGAAAAATATAAAATTCACCTACACTCCATCCCAAAGTCTTGTCAATCTGCTGAAGGGCATTTCCAATTGTACAAGACTTTCAGCCTTCAATAATGTCGCTGGCAAGGACCCTAGAGGGCATCCCACCCAATCCAATAACTTGAGATTTCTTGACCGAAACTTCATACCAGAAGCATTAAACTTGTTCCTAAGTTGTCCATTCAAATCTCCACAAACCTTAAGAAGCTTTAGATTGGGCATTGAATCAAATGCTTTAATAATTACGCACATCTCTTCAACTTCTGAAAGGTTAATAATCATGCCTTCAATATGTCCCTGACAAACAAAAAAATGATAATAGTAATAAAAATATTATATAAGTCAAATAGAAATTTGGAATTCAACAATCTTTTTAATAAATAAATGTAGAAATTTCACACTTACCATATTTTCCTTCAATATTGCAGAACTCTTCTTGGAAATCCAAAATATGTTGCACCATGTAAGATATTTTAATGATTCTTCACGGACAATTTGTTTACCCATTTGTTCTATCAGACTGTGCATACGTATTTTTCTTCCACAAATATCTAAAAGAGCTTTATCTTCCAGTCTTGTCAATCCAATCTCGGTTGAATACTTGCATGCATCTAACAATTTTTTTACATCCTCAACATCATAATGATAATTGAAAAAACATGCGACGTGCAAGAAAATATTTTTCTCTTCCTCATCATCAAGTCCTTCAAAGCTCATTCTAAGGATTTTATTGACTTCTTGACAAGGTAATTTTTGAAGCTTGTCCAATTGGCTTTTCCATGCTTCTTGCTTTTTGCCGCATAGGAGGCGGCCTAAAACCTTTAGGGCTAATGGATTTCCGCCTGCATATTTAGTCACTTCTTCTGCTAGCTCTCTTATCTTTAGGTCAACATAGTCATTTCTAAAGGCATTGTTGGAGAATAGTTTAAAAGCTTCATCAGGATTCAAACCACGAAGCACATATATATCATCCACTTCATTACCAAATATTTGTTTATCTCTGGTTGTTATCAAGATTTTACTACCTGATCCAAATTCATGTCTTCCAACTAACTTTTCTAAATGTGTAAGATCATCAACGTCATCAAGCACAATGAAAACCTTTTTCCGACCAAGCCTACTGACGGTATAAGGACATATTGCATTGCCAATGTGAGATTCTTTATCCCCTAATAACTCCCAAACAATTTTCCCCCTCAAAGCATCTATTCCATGTCTCTTTGATTCTTGCCTTACATTAGTCAAAAGGCAAGACCCTTCATATGTAAAACGCAATTTGTTAAACAACGCTTTTGCAAGAGTTGTTTTGCCCACACCGCCCATCCCCCAAATTCCAATAAATTGGCAACCACCAATTATTGAACCTTTGTACAACAATGATTCTACATCCGCTATTCTTTTGTGAATTCCAACCAGGCCTTTTAGATCATCTTCACTTTGATACCTAGAGCCCAACTTTTGCATGACACGATTCACTATTTCTTTAATTAGCTCCGCTTCATCCCTACACACCATTGAAAAAATAAAGAGGCACCAAATTTAACACCGCATTATTTGTTCATTTCAAATTTTGAACTATTCCCTAATGACATGTAACTATGAAGATTTGCCCATTTTTAAAATTTGTTATAATATTTTTTTGAGAAATATTACTTATATTTGATGACATAACTAGATATATGTAAAATTCCAGCTTCATTTTATGGGTACGAATGCATTGTCATTACCATGGTGAGACAGGGATTTAGATTAGCATATCATAACAGTAAAGTTGATGGACTCGGTGGACTGGTTACGCATAGTGTACAAGAGAAGCTATTCTCTTTATGATCATCAGCGTAACTTCCATTAAATGCCTCGAAGATTGATTTAATTTAGCCCGAGGCATGGAAGAAAATGATAAGAGGAAGATCATAAATATGTAGTTACCTATTGAAGCCACAATGCCAACCACACAAACTGGCAGCTTGAGTAAGAGCCTCCCTCCACTTCTGCAGTTGTTGATTGTTGATGTTTCTTTTGCGCTCATGTTCTTCAAATGCTCTCTCGTAACTCCCAGACTGCTTCCTCACATGTGAAGGATCCACTCTATGGAACACCGGCATAACAAGGTGATCTTGATTTTTGGAGCACTCGAATATTTTTGCAAGCTCCTTCAGGCACCACGTGGAAGATGCATAGTTTTCTGAGAAGACCACAAGGAACAGAGTTGAATTTTCAATGGCTTTCTCAAGAGACGGCCATACCTCATCTCCTTTCTCAAGTCTGTAGTCGATGTATGTATTTATTTGGTTTGTGCGAAGAGCTTCATGAAGGTGGCTTGTGAAGTTGAAGCGGGTGTCCTCGCCTCTGAAGCTAATAAAAACATCATATTTCTTTGGAGATTGAAAAGACAAAGCAGAGGAAGAAGATGAATCCATATCAAATTGCTTGGCTATAGGAAACGATTTGGGACTGCTTTCAATTCTGATCTAAGAACGATTGGCAATAGGAAACAAGCCAGCCTAAGAGGAATATATATAAGATTTTAGGGGAATAGATTGAGTCAACCAAGTCAATGAAAGATGGAACAAAATGAATAATAAATAATCATAATAAATTATAAATAAAAGCAAAGCTAACTTTTAGAGATTTGAAATTTCACATCGCCTGGTTCTCAAATTTGAAATTTCAAAGAAAGGGCCCTCCTACTGAACCAAAGTAGTGTGTGGAAAAGACAGCACTAAATGAAAAACATAGCAAAGAGAGTAAGGAAATTCCATCGACACTTTCTCCGAAATGTTGATCCAATATCTTTGAGACCTTCACCCAAAGCTTTAATCAAATTCTCTGAGGGCTGATCCAAAAAGAAAAAGAAAAAGAAAATCAAATTTCCCCAAGAAAATATAAGCGCCTGCGGTCAAATGTCCTAATGAAATTTGGATTAATGAAGCACTATAGTTACATCTCTACTCTTACTTGTGTTGCATGTTTAGTCTTCGCCTCTAGAAATATAAGATTAAACAAATGCTCATTTTTTTCAAAAAATAACAACATATATTATCAAAACATTTAAAGTGAAAGCCAGAGCTAGCAAGCATTAGAGTTTTAACGTTTCAAAACTGCAAGTTTTGACAATTGTTAATTATTTTTATTACTAGCCCTCATTTTCTCTTCTTTTCATAGACCCAAAAAGCAAGTCAATTGCGTGTAAGGGTGTGACTGTCGCGTAAAAAACACGGCGGAGTAAGTACAGATTGCGCGTGACAGTGAGAATAATGGACCCTCACTCTAAGCATGTGGTTGGAGTGGTGTTAAAACCAGCAAACTTGGCTTTGGCAATGTGAAAAGTCATTTGGTGGGTGGGTTAACTTTTTCTCAAATGATCTTTTGAAGAAAAATCATGGTACCACTAAAGTTAAAAATTTTTGCTGCTGAGGATGTGAAAAAAAAAAAAAGGAATAATATTTAAGTGAGTCTTATATTAACTTAATAATTTGATTTTTTTTGTTAGTAATAATTTTTTAAATGCTTAGAAATTTTTTAAGGAAAATATTTAAGTCAAATGACTTATATTTATTATGTTAATTTTTCTAATCACATGCGGTCATATGTTCATTTATTTCATATAAGTTTATAACTAAATATTATTAAATGCAAATATTTTAAAAATATGATACATAATCATGTGTGATCGGAGAATTTAACATGATGAATATAAGAAAATTGATAAGAGTATTGTCCTTTTTTTAGTAGATATATTAGCTCTTTTTATTTTTATAATGTTTATTTTAATTTATTATTTTTCTTACATTTATTAAATTATATATATGAAATATATGTTTTAAAATTCATGGCTTTTTAGTCATTTTATATGTAAACTTACCTTTCTAAATAAGTTTTGATTTAGCAAAGTGACTTTTATAACAAATCAATCCAAGTATAAATCATATTACACTTATTGACTTTTATCCTAACTGACTTTTTCAAAAATCAAACAAAATAAAAGTCAGTTTTGTTACCGTTAATCCAAATACATCCGAAATAGTTATTTACATCATATTTCATATATAATATTTCATTAATTTTAACTATTTAATTTTTTTAGTTACATAATTCAGTTGGTTGTCATTTACTATATTTGAATGAGTTTTTAAACTCAAATTTATTGTTGACATTTGCACTAAATAAAATAAAATAAACTAATTTTTTCTAAAGATACAAAGGTAAGCAAAACTTGAAAATAGATAACCTATAACTTGAAGAAGGCCAACAATGTTTTGGGTATAAAATAAGGGGTACTGATTTTTTTTTTTTAAATGACATCCAGTATCTTAAAGTATTATTTAGTAACAACTAACATCTTAAAATAATTTTAAATAGGAGATGAAGAATCAGGAACACATGTAGAATCAGAACTTACAATTTAAAAGGATAGGCTGCATTTCACTAATATACAAAATGATAATGCTTGTACCAAAAGGGGGGGGGGGGGAGTAATCACTGCACATTGGCCCTGAAAATAGACCCTCTGTTACAAGTGAAGGAAACGCAGTGTCCGCGAAAGATAAAAGGTGAGATATTTGCGCTTTGGAGAAAACTGCTGAGTGTGATGTCTGTTGTTAATGCCGTGACCCAAGCGAACGCTCTGTTGAAGCAAAAAGATAAAAGCGAAGTTTCCTCTGTTTGAGAATACTGCAAAGGATGATTTTTTGGTAACTGCCAGAGATATTTTGGTGTTTCCATTTTCTATTTGAAATAAATAATTCTATTTTTTCCCCCCTTAAAAATGTACTAAACAAACACACCCACGGTAATTAAGATTACATGGCAATGCATTCCATTTCGGATAGAAGGGAAGCCAAAAAGCGTAACTTAACTTGCCCAACCTGTGTATTTCCGCCAACTGGACTTTAAAAGGACTAAATTTCCATAAAACTTAAACTAACAGCAGGTACGTAGCACGACACGAGGATAATATTTCATCAAGTCTATAGTCGATGTATGTATCTATTTGGTTTCTGCGAAGAGCTTCATGAGGGTGGCTTGTGAACTTGAAGCGGTTGGCCTCGCCTGATCTGAAGCTAATATTTCTTTGGAGATTGAGAAGAGGAAGCAGTGGAAGAAGATGAGGCCATATCAGATTGCTTGGCTACTGTGCCCACCTACAAAGGAAGCTCTGAGATATACCAGAGCAGGTCAAATTTTCCAAGGGATGGTCAAAAAGGAAAAGAAAATCAAATTTCCCAAGAAAATATATACGCCTGCTGTCAAATGTCCCCATAAAATATGATTTAATAAAAAGCACTATAATTACACCTCTCTTATTTTTCCCCTGGGCAGCATTGGAAATAATCTAATGGAGTGAACCCGAAAAGCAAGTCAATTGCGCGTGGAGGATGGGGTGACTGTGACCCTGTACGTAACAAACACGGAGGAGTAAGGTGCGGATTGTTGCGCGACAGTGAGAATACTGAAACTACACTCTCAAAACTGCGAAAATTAGTAGAAAGTTCGCACACAAGTGGATAGCTTGTTTGCTTATAAGCAGTGAAGAAATTATCTGAGAATAATTTTGTCTTATATTAAAGATGAAAAGTAGTGTAAGAGAGATGAAGTCACACATTAGGCTTGTATGTATCTTCTTATCTTAATTACTTATAGCCATTTTCATTAAAAAAAAGTAGTTTTCAATATAAATAAAAACTTTTAAAAAATTAATTTAAATTTTTATAAATAGTTAATTCAATTAACTTATTTAATCGATCTGAATTAATTATTTATATATTATACTCTTTCGATTCTAAATATAAGATTCTTATCCTTATACACGTATGTATAAGAGTTTTATATCTAAGACAGGAAGAATAATTATAAATATAAACAGTATTCAGGTAGTACATAGCATCCACTTGCATTATATTGTGGAGTAAATTATTGACTAATGACACGCAATATGCAGAAAGCAAAAGCGAAGTGCCAGAAATTCTAAGGCCCACGCACATGGCTGATGGTGAAGAGCCTCCTAAATAGTGATATCTCTCATTTTGAGGAATGATATTAAATAATGTTTTGTATAAAAAGTCCCTTGTGAATGAATAACATAACTCAGCACTTCTTATCATGCCAGTCTATTGTCATATAGTTTTTCTTCTTGATGAACGATACTATATTTTTACTAAAAAAATAAGACTTATCCCAACTCGGATTGAAGCTCAGAACATGCAAAAGTATAGATTGAGGGTAAGAGTAGAAAAATGAAAAAAAAAAAGTTTTAAGACATAATAATTCAGTTAAAATAGTTTATTGGTACGTATATATAAATTAGATAATTTTGTATTATATGAGGACAATGGAGAACGTAATGCTGTACGCCAAGGCAATCTTAGAACAGAAGCAAATGCACAAAAAAAGCAAGAAAAAGCAACTTTTGACTTTTATACAAAGATGGTCAGTCTGCCTATGAAAATGGAATCTGGCTTTTTGGAGGCAATCTTAGAACAAAAGCAAATGCACAAAAAAAGCAAGAAAAAGCAACTTTTGACTTTTATACAAAGATGGTCAGTCTGCCTATGAAAATGGAATCTGGCTTTTTGGAGGCAATCTTAGAACCAAAGCAAATGCACAAAAAAAGCAAGAAAAAGCAACTTTTGACTTTTATACAAAGATGGTCAGTCTGCCTATGAAAATGGAATCTGGCTTTCTGGCATATGACTCTCCACCTTTCAAACAGTGGAAACTGGCAAATGATGAACAATGACTGTGAAACTCCATGGAACGGAACGCGATCCATTTCAAATGGGGATGGTCCTCCAGCAGCTCTGCGCTCTGAACTTAATTAAAGCTTTCCTCTTTTTTTTTTTATTAAAAAAAGAAAAAATTAACACTTTCTTTTATGCTCACAATCAAATATTCTTCTTCATTATATTGATCGTTTCTCTTAAATACCCATACTACAAGGAAACACCAAAATTGAATTAGTTATGGCTTTTTTTGGCTTTTCAGTTCTATCAGAATTTAAATATATGAGCTTGTTTGGATTAAGATTGATTATATTATTTTTTATTTCAACTGATTTTTATAAACTAACGTTAGGAGTATTTTAGTACTTCGGTTAAAAGTTTAGGGTTATTTTTACACAATTGACCCTTTTTAAATTAGGGATATTTTAGTATTTTTAAATATTATCATGGGTCTCACTGCAAAAAGTGATGGTTGTGAGACTACGCCATGTTATTTTTGCTTTAATTTAACAAGTTTATAAGTACTTTTGTATTTTTAAAATCTATGAATTATACAATTCTTGATATAAGAGGAGTATCCAATAAATTCTAGGCATGTGTATACAAATGATGAAAAATGGAGATTATGGGGGGGAAAACCAATAATTATAAGTAAAAAGAGTGAGATGCCAAAAGAGCAGTCTTTGAAAGGCAGTTAAATTCTCAAAGAAATTGCTAAAAAATGAATTGGAAATACTGAAAGGTTTATTTAAAATTTAAATATCTCGTTTAAGATTAGTAATTGCTGTTTCTTTGAATGATATTTATAATTTATTTTTTTAAAATATTTAACATCTGGGCTGTCATTGTAATTATTGATCTTTTGGACTTAATTATCACTTCCCTAACAACTATTATATTATTGTAGGGTATTTACATAATTAATTTTGAGTTCTGGAAATCATAAAGTAACTTCCAGAAAGTTTGGCATGCTTCAATGAGTCAGCGAGGCTCCTAACAAGATTTTTTCTGGCAAAAAAAAAAAACAACTAACAAGATCTTTTATTTTTTTTGCCATAACTTATTCCAGTGCCACTATTTTTAATCTCTAGTTATTTATAATAAATTTATTTTTTTTAAGAAGTGACAGTTATAAAATTATTTTTATTTTAAATTTTGTGTATATTAAAACAAAAAATTATCCAAACATAAAAAAATATTAAATTGAATCTGAATCATCAAAAATCAATGCGGTTGCTTCTTATTATGATGAGGGTTTGTACAAAGTAAATTTGCATTTTTATTATTGCTTTTCAAAACATGCAAAAGAGAAGTTTTTATAAATTATGTATGTTCATTTGATCTCTTTTTATTTGATTTTTTTGGCTCATAATTAGCGCTTCTTTAATACTGTATTTGCTTATTTTGAATTCTAATGCCCAACGTAATGTATTTGTGAGTCTTTGTTCTCCACAACGAATGAGACGACTAAAAGCGTAGCCAATTTTTACCTGTTTCCGTGTGACTTCCAAAGAGTTTTAATGCGTACTTTGCACGTGACCTCGAGACTTTCTCCCAAATTGCTTAAAGGCCTTCACCCAAATTAAAGCTTGGTTAATAAAACAATACAAATGATTCAAATTTAATAAGTGCATGCTGACCAATTATGCACGCGGCAAAAACAGGGAAGATATAAGTAGGCACGGATCCAAGTTCTTCAAGGTCATGTGAAGAATTTTCAAAGAAAATTTTAGTTAGTACAGTGAAGGGTGACTTTAGTTAATACAAGGTTAACAATATTTAAATAAATTAACAATTGAACACTATTTTTTTAAGTTAATATAATTTTTGGTCCATCAAATTTGTCCTCATTTTAGTTTTGATCTCTCAAGAGAAAAATATAGTTCAATTTTTATTAAATTATAAGAACCAATATTTTAAATAAAAAAAACTAAAAAAGTTAAAGCTTATGATTTGAAACTTGAGAGACCAAAACTCAAATAAAAAAAATTAAAAGGCCAAAAATTACATTAACCATTTTATTTTTATTTATAAATTACTTTTAATATGTTTAACTGAATGAAATAAAATCTTAAAACTGATTAATTATATTTAAAATTAAATAAGTTTTCAACTTTGGCACCATCAAATATGCATGATTTAAAAATTAAATAACATATACCTATATTTAATGAAGGATAAACAGGAAAAATAGAAAAAGATTCATGGCAGTTGTAAAAGAGTAAGGACTCTTTTTAATTCAGATCTAAGAATTATTTGCAACAGGAAACAAACAGGGCCTAGGGGGCTCTATATTACTGGGGAGGATAATTAAGCTGGTCTTGGAGCTGATTCAAGTCAACGGAATAATGACTGCGAAGCTTCATGGAATAAAACCCACCATTTGCAAAAAGGGGTGGGCCTCTTTCAAGTTACTCCTCAATCGTTAATATATCGTCTAGTTGTTAAGATAATTTTAATTTTAAATATAAGATCTATTTTTTATATTTATTTATTATTTGTAAATTATCTTTATAAATACTGCATTAACCATAATTAAATAGGAAAAAGAAGAAGGATATTAAGAGAAATAATTATGATATTTTAGAAAAGAATTAGTTAAATATGTCTTATATTAAGAATAAAAAGAGTATTAATTAAAACTTTCTTCTATGTTCTCAATTTGAGCACCGTGAAAAAACAAGGGGAAAAAACTCTCCAATTAATATTTTCCTAACTATGAGTCTCTCTGTCCACCCCCCCGGGAAAAACAATTATGAGTCTCACATCTGAATAATTCTAGGTTCTAGTAAATTTACCTTTTTTTTCAGTTATAAGTATATGGCCTCTACAGTAGTGTAAGAGAGATGAAGTCACACATTAGGCTCGTATGTATCTTCTTATCTTAATTACTTATAGCCTTTTTCATAAAAAAAAAAGTAGTTTCCAATATAAATAGAAACTTTAAAAAATTAATTTAAAGTTTTATAAATAGTTAATTCAATTAACTTATTTAATCGATCTGAATTAATTATTTATATATTATACTTTTCCAATTCTAAATATAAGATTCTTATTCTTATACACGTATGTATAAAAATTTTATATTTAAGACAGGAAGAATAAGTAGAAATATAAACAGTATTCAGGTAGTACATAGCATATACTTGCATTATATTGTGGAGCAAATTATTGAATAATGACACGCAATATGCAGAAAGCCAAAGCGAAGTGCCAGAAATTCTAAGGCCCACGCACATGGCTGATGGTGAAGAGCCTCCTAAATAGTAATATCTCTCATTTTGAGGAATGATATTAAATAATGTTTTGTATAAAAAGTCCCTTATGAATAATAACATAACTCAGCACTTCTTATCTTGCCAGTCTATTGTCATATAGTGTTTCTTCTTGATGAACGATACTATATTTTTACTAAAAAAATAAGACTTATCCCAACTCGGATTGAAGCTCAGAACATGCAAAAGTATAGATTGAGGGTAAGAGTAGAAAAATGAAAAAAAAAAAGTTTTAAGACATAATAATTCAGTTAAAATAGTTTATTGGTACGTATATATAAATTAGATAATTTTGTATTATATGAGGACAATGGAGAACGTAATGCTGTACGCCAAGGCAATCTTAGAACAGAAGCAAATGCATAAAAAAAGCAAGTAAAAGCAACTTTTGACTTTTATACAAAGATGGTCGGTCTGTCTATGAAAATGGAATCTGGCTTTTTGGAGGCAATCTTAGAACAAAAGCAAATGCACAAAAAAAGCAAGTAAAAGCAACTTTTGACTTTTATACAAAGATGGTCAGTTTGCCTACGAAAATGGAATCTGGCTTTTTCGCATGTGACTCTCCACCTTTCAAACAGTGGAAACTGGAAAATGATGAACAATGACTGCGAAACTCCATGGAACGGAACGCGATCCATTTCAAATGGGGATGGCCCTCCAGCAGCTCTGCGCTCTGAACTTAATTAAAGCTTTCCTTTTTTTCTTTTTTTATTAAAAAAAGAAAAAATTAACACTTTCTTTTATGCTCACAATCAAATATTCTTCTTAATTATATTGATCGTTTCTCTTAAATACACATACTACAAGGAAACGCCGAAATTGAATTAGTTTATGGCTTTTTTTGGCTTTTCAGTTCTATCAGAATTTAAATATATGAGCTTGTTTGGATTAAGATTGATTATATTGATTTTTATTTCAACTGATTTTTATAAACTAACGTTAGGAGTATTTTAGTGCTTCGGTTAGAAGTTTAGGGTTATTTTTACACAATTGACCTTTTTTTAAATTAGGGATATTTTTTTAGTATTTTTAAATATTATCATGGGTCTCACTGCAAAAAGTGATGGTTGTGAGACTACACCATGTTATTTTTGCTTTAATTTAACAAGTTTATAAGTACTTTTGTATTTTTATAATCTATGAATTATACAATTCTTGATATAAGAGGAGTATCCAAGAAATTCTAGGCATGTGTATACAAATGATGAAAAATGGAGATTATGGGGGGAAAAACCAATAATTATAAGTAAAAAGAGTGAGATGCTAAAAGAGCAGTCTTTTAAAGGCAGTTAAATTCTCAAAGAAATTGCTAAAAAATGAATTGGAAATACTGAAAGGTTTATTTAAAATTTAAATATCTTGTTTAAGATTAGTAATTGCTGTTTATTTGAGTGATATTTATAATTTATTTTTTTTTAAAATATTTAACATCTGGGCTGTCATTGTAATTATTGATCTTTTGGACTTAATTATCACTTCCCTAACAGCTATTATATTATTGTAGGGTATTTACATAATTAATTTTGAGTTCTGGAAATCATAAAGTAACTTCCAGAAAGTTTGGCATGCTTCAATGAGTCAGTTAATTTGGGTCAAGCGAGGCTCCTAACAACTAACAAGATTTTTTCTGGAAAAAAAAAAAACAACTAACAAGATCTTTTATTTTTTTGCCGTAACTTATTCCAGTGCCACTATTTTTAATCTCTAGTTATTTATAATAAATTTAGTTTTTTTAAGAAGTGACAGTTATAAAATTATTTTTATTTTAAATTTTGTGTATATTAAAACAAAAAATTATCCAAATATAAAAAAATATTAAATTGAATCTGATTAATCAAAAATCAATGTGGTTGCTTCTTATTATGATGAGGGTTTGTACAAAGTAAATTTGCATTTTTATTATTGCTTTTCAAAACATGCAAAAGATAAGTTTTTATAAATTATGTATGTTCATTTGATCTATTTTTATTTGATTTTTTTGGCTCATAATTAGCGCTTCTTTAATACTGTATTTGCTTATTTTGAATTCTAATGCCCAAAGTAATGTATTTGTGAGTCTTTGTTCTTTACAACAAATGAGACGACTAAAAACGTAGCCAATTTTTACCCGTTTCCGTGTGACTTCCGAAGAGTTTTAATGCGTACTTTGCACATGACCTCGAGACTTTCTCCCAAATTGCTTAAAGGCCTTCACCCAAATTAAAGCTTGATTAATAAAACAATACAAATGATTCAAATTTAATAAGTGCATGCTGACCAATTATGCACGCAGCAAAAACAGGGAAGACATAAGCAGGCACGAATCCAACAGGAAACAAACAGGGCCTCGGGGGCTCTATATTACTGGGGAGGACAATTAAGCTGGTCTTGGAGCTGATTCAAGTCAACGGAATAATGACTGCGAAACTTCATAGAATAAAACCCACCATTTACAAAAAGAGATGGGCCTCTTTCAAGTTACTCCTCAATCGTTAATATATCGTCTAGTTGTTAAGGTAATTTTAATTTTAAACATAAAATTTATTTGTTATATTTATATATTATTTTTAAATTATCTTTATAAATACTACATTAACCATAATTAAATAGGAAAAAAAAGAAGGATATTAAGAGAAATGATTATGATATTTTAGAAAAGAATTAGTTAAATATGTCTTATATTAAGAATAAGAAGAGTATTAATTAAAACTTTCTTCTATGTTCTCAATTTGAGCACCATGAAAAAACAAGGGGAAAAAAACTCTCCAATTAATATTTTCCTAACTATGAGTCTCTCTGTCCACCCCCCGGGGAAAATCAATTATGAGTCTCACATCTGAATACTTTGCGAGTAAGATTTAGGAAAAATTAATTCATAAATCTTTAGAATTTCACTTGATTTTTAATCAGGTTCTAGTAAATTTACTTTTTTTTTTCAGTTATAAGTATATGGCCTCTACAGTTTGCCATTTTTAATAGAAACAGTACGTCATCCTATTCAGCATATATTTTGATTAAATTTGCCACATAGATCTAAATAAGATCAGAATCAACCAAATTATATATCAAATTTTTTTTTTCATCATGTTACCTTTAAAAATCCTTTTTATGTAATGTTGCAACTTGTAGCCCAAAGAAAATGCATTGTTTTGGACTTTAGTTGTTTGTTTGAAGGAATAAATGAAATCGAAGTGAGGGAATAATTTTGAAAATGCAAGGTAGCTTTTCAGGTTCAGCTAGTCTCTCACTCCCTGCTCTGTTCCATTAAGTTCGTTATATTATGATGCATACGTATGGGGATCCACATGTAGAATAGAATGTGAGGTGTGTTGTGAATAGAGCGGCCAAAGAACGAATACTCTGTTTGGAAAATAAGAAGTAAAAGATGAAGTTCTCTCTTTTTGCGGACGTTGCGAAGAAGGGAGGGCGGAAGGAGAGGCACAAGAGTAGTTATTAACAGAGTACTTAAAGAAAGAGACTCATTTAAACCGTAAGCCAAGAGTAATGGCCCTTTGTGCCAAGAAAATCCTCATTGACAGAGTTATGCAAGGGAACAAAATCCCAGAGTTGCAGACCAAAATGAAATCGAACCTTGAAATCAAAATGTATGAATGCTTTTCACATATTGTCATCGATGCAACTTTTTTGGTTCATCTAATGCTGAATGGAAAAGACGGCACCGAATGGAAAACAGGGAGTAGAGAGAGAGAAAATTATGAGAAGAGTGGACTATAAGCATTGCTGATTCATTTTGAACAATGAGCCCTTCTACTCTGCTTAGCTGACAAGGGATCTGTCAAAAATAAGCATCAAACAAGTGAACAGAATCCATGGATGAATTGAAACCAACAACATATAAGATTTCATTGGCATGATTAATTTGGGATATATAAATTGGCTCCAAAAAAATTATGAGGAAATAAAATGCAAGGACAAACCTCAACAAATTGGTACTGCCATAGCCAGGGCCTGACACCATGTGTATGAGGTGACATATGTTGGGCGAGTCAGGATATAAAATTTTTATGCTTTGCAGTTCTTCCTTATTATCATTATCATTATCATTATTATTACTACACAATCACATCTAAGTATTTATCTTACTATATTTTAATTTATCTTTTTATCTGTTGCAACAGAATAATTAATTTCAATAACATTATCTATGACAGCCGCGGTGTAGTTGAAACTGTTACCACTGTCTTAATTTTATCTTTTAATTTATTCACTTGTGTTAATTCCCTTCTAACTTTTGTATGCTAGCTTCTCGTAGTGTTTCATTGTTGCTCTTAAATTTTGTTCTTTATCAGAATTTTATTCATTTAATTTGGATCACACGCAACACAGACGCTGAGATTTTAGGGTATTCCTAATTAAATGCAACTTTGCAGATTCCCAAATATTTCCAAAACTGTTGTAAAACTTTTTTTCAGAGCAAGATGATCGGATGAATTGAACGAGATCAAACTTTTCAGGCTGCTGATTATGAGTTTACGACTTTAATGGATGCAGCCTTGTGAATACACACACACACACACAAATGAGATGGAAATTCCTGCAGCCATCAGAGGGACAGGGATTGAAAAAGAAAGATGAGCAGATATTAATGTTCAAAGATCGAACCTGTTGTTTCTTGTTCTTCTCATATTCTTCATATTTGCAAGCTCCTTCAGTGGCTTCCTCAATGTCCATAAATCCTTTTCTTTCTCAATCTGCTCGATTAATTTCCCGTGATTATGACATAGTAGAAGTAAGAGATAGTCAGCTTAATGTCCATCAGTTGAATCCAGTTCTTCAAAAATGTTAAATTAATCATATGAATGCCAATGGTACAACTTAATGATGTGGTAATCAGAACGTACAAATTATTTAAAAACAAGAAAAAAGCATTTCTATCACTAGTAGTTAAAACCAGAGCATACCATTTTGAGGTCGAGGCGCGAGAGTGATATATAAAGTTGAAGTAGTGGGCAGATGAATTGAACTTGAGAGCTGTAAAACTCAAAAACAATTTCTTGAAATTCATCGAAGTAAGCTGTGATATTTGCGCTTTCGAGAGGCCGATTTGCAATGCAATAATGCCAATTGAATTTGTTTGATGTAATTTTGATATTCAACTGCAGATGTCGGGCACACCCCCCACTCTTTGATCTCTACTGTTGTTTCATCACGCGAAAAGGCTGCGAATTCAAATTGAAGCAATGGATGATAAGAAGTGTTGCTTTGGGCTTCTATTTTCTTTTCTTCAATTTTCCCTTGTACTTCTCGACACTGCCTTTGATCGTACCAAAGAACAACATGATCTGATAACAGGTACTCACCGAGAGAGTAGTGCTCAAACGTGGAAGCATGTTGACCATCAATAAACAATTCGGCTGTAATATTTGTCCACCATGATGATCCAGAAATGACGGCGCAAAAAATGAAACCGCCATCCCAAGGTTGTGGAATCGAACTGAGATCCACAGTCAGGAAAGACTGTGTAGTCCTATACATGACCCACTCTGCAACTCTTCTTCCCGGATATTCCATATTAGCCTGGAAATAAATGGCTTTGTTGTTATTTATGGCAAGTAGCACTCTGGCCTCAACAGCTTTGATTGACTGCCCATCCAACTTCATGCAATTTCTGAAACTGAATTCTTCATAATATAATAGGTCTCCTCTATCTTCAATCAAAGGTAAATGTACACTCATTAAAGGTACATGTAAAGTCTCAAGGGACAGGCAGTTATTGACGTCCAGTAGTGAGATAGAGGGAGGGAGTTGTGGTAGAGACCGAAGCCTTTTGCATCCCTTGAAGAAAAGACGTTGCAGGCTTGAAAGATGTTTGATGCTTAAAGGCAAGGTCTCTATATTACTCCACGAGAGATTTAACAGATTTAATGACGCCAACAAGCTGATGTTGTCAGGAACTTCATATAATTCACTACAATTAGTCAGCCGTAGAAAGTGCAAAGCACGCATCTCATCAAATTTGGAACACAGATTTGATGCTAACTTATTACAATAATCAGCATCAAGGCGTTCAAGGGTGCGCATGTCAACCAATTTGTGGAGACTTGTCACACTTTCGCATCTTCCTAGATCCAAAACACCAATTCTGCTGAGGTGTCCGCTTGATGAGCACAACTCACCATTGATGGCTGCGTCATGAAGCGACAAGCGAATCCAATATTTTTCTGAGGTCACCGAAAATTCACTTAGTCCTGAGCATCCTGTCAATTTGAGTATACACAGTGATTTGAGATGGGTGTTGCTTGTGAGGCTGGCAAGGGTTTTGCAATCTGTTAGCTCTAAACAAGAAAGGCTATGGAGAGATAAAATAGATGGATGAACATTCTGCAATTTTGTGCAATAATCGAGAGTAACTCGGACAAGATGTATGGCCTTGGAAAAATTTGGGAGCTCAATCAAGTCTTGTGATCCACGAAGATCGATTCTGCTTAAATTCACAAGATTCTGTAAAAAAAAAAAATCCATGGTAAGATTGGTGGCAAAAATGAAAATAATTACTCTCTCTTATCGTTCTTTAATAGTTTTACTAAAAAATTACTTATTAATGTCGAAAGGTTTTACAACGTTCTAAAATTACACTTAATCAATAATCTTTATAAATATTGGTGTGATGGTGAAATACAAATGCATTTTTTAGAACAGGTGCTGTCAGTCTGTCATTGAATTTTTTAAGAGGTTTTAAAGACCCATAGGTAAAGGCTTACAAATAATTAAGACTAAAGAAAAGGCACATAATCAAAATTTTCAACTAATGCATTAATAATATTTTAAAGAGAAAATATAAAATTTACCTGCTCTCCATCCCAAAGTTTTGTCAATTTGCTGAAGGGCATGTCTATTTCAACAAGATTTTCACCCTTAAATGTTGTCGGCAAGGTCTTTAAAGGGCATCCCACCCAATCCAATAGCATGAGGTTTTTTGACAAAAACATCATGCCAGAAGCATTTAACTTGTTCCTAAGCTGAACATTTAAATTTCCATAAACCCTAAGAAACTTTAGATTGGGCATTGAACGAAATGCTTTAATAATCACGCCCGTCTCTTCAACTTCCGAAAGGTCCATAATCATGCCTTCAATACTTCCCTAACAAACAAAAAATAATAATATTAATAAAAAATTATATAAATCAAATAGGAATTTGGAATTCAACAATCTTTTTAATAAATAAATGTATAAATTTCACACTTACCATATTTTTCGTCAATATTTCAGAACTTTTCTTGAAAATCCAAAATATGTTGCACCATGTAGGATGTTTTAATGATTCTTCACGAACAATTTGTTTACCCATTTTTTCTATCAGATTGTGCATACGTATTTTTCCTCTATCAATATCTAAAAGAGCTTTATCTTCAAGTCTCGTCAATCCAATCTCGGTTGAATAACCGCATGCATCTAACCATTTTTTTACATTCTCAACATTATAATAATAATTGAAAAAACATGCGATATGCAAGAAAATATTTTTTTCTTCCTCATCATCAAGTCCTTCAAAGCTCAATCTAAGGATATCATTGACTTTTGGGCAAGGTAATTTTTGAAGCTTTTCCAATTGGCTTTTCCACGCTTCTTGCTTTTTGCCGCATAAGAAGAGGCCTAAAACCTTTAGGGCCAATGGATTTCCACCTGCATATTCAATTACTTTTTTTGCTAGCTCGCTTATCTTTGGATCACTATAGCCTTTTTTGAAGGCATTCAAGGAGAAAAGTTGAAAAGCTTCATCAGGATCCAAACCATGAAGCGCATATATATCATCCACTTCCTTACCAAGCACTTGCTTATCCCTAGTTGTTATTAAAATTTTAGTACCTGGTCCAAATTCAAGTCTTCCAACTAGATTTTCTAATTGTGCACGATCATTAACATCATCAAGCACAATTAAAACTTTTTTCCGACGGAGCCTACTTATGGTATGAGGATATATTGCATTGCCAATGTGAGATTCTTTATCCCCTAATAACCTCCAAAGGAATTCTCTCCTTAAAGCATCCATTCCATATTTCTTTGATTCTTCCATTACGTTCAGAAAGCAAGACCCTTCATATGTGAAAAATAATTTGTTAAATAATGCTTCTGCAAGAGCTGTTTTGCCTAAACCGCCCATTCCCCAAATTCCAATGAATTGACAGCCACCATTGTTTGAACCTTTGTCCAACAATGATTCTACATCTGCCATTCTTTTGTGAATTCCAATCAAGCCTTTTAGATAATATTCACTTTGATACCTAGGGCCCAACTTTTGCATGACTCGATTCACTATTTCTTCAATTAGTTCCGCTTCATCCCTACACACCATTGAAAAAAATAAAGAGGCACCAAATTTAATACCACATTATCTATTCATTTCAAATTTTGAACTATTTCTATTGACATGTAACTATGAAGATTTGCCAATTTTTAAAATTTCTTATAATATTTTTTTGAGAAATATTACTTATATTAGATGACATAACTAGACACACACACACATATATATATGTGTGTGTGTGAAATTCCAGCTTCATCTTATGGCTACGAATGCATCGTCATGACCATAGTGAAACAGCGATTGAGATTAAAATATCATAAGAGTAAATTGATTGACCCGGTGGACTGGTTAAGCATAGTGTACAAGAGAAGCTATTCTCTTTATGATCATCAGCGTAACTTCCATTAAATGCCTCAAAGATTGATTTAATTTAGCCCCAGGCGTGGATGAAAATGATAAGAGGAAGATCATAAATATGTAGTTACCTATTGAAGCCACAATGCCAACCACACAAATTGGCAGCTTGAGTAAGAGCCTCCCTCCACCTTTGCAGTTGTTGATTGTTGATGTTTCTTTTGCACTCATGTTCTTCAAATGCTTTCTTGTAACTCCCAGACTGCTTCCTCACATGTGAAGGATCCACTCTATAGAACACCGGCACAACAAAGCAACCTTGATTTTTGGAGCACTCTAATATTTTTGCAAGCTCCTTCAGGCACCACGTGGAAGATGCATAGTTTTCTGAGAACACCACAAGGAACAGAGTTGAATCTTTAATGGCTTTCTCGAGAGACGGCCATACCTCATCTCCTTTCTCAAGTCTATAGTCGATGTATGTATATATTTGGTTTCTGCGAAGAGCTTCATGAAGGTGGCTCGTGAAGTTGAATCGGGTGTCCTCACCTCTGAAGCTAATAAAAACATCATATTTCTTTGGAGATTGGGAAGATGGAGCAGAGGAAGAAGATGAAGCCATATCAAATTGCTTGGCTACGATATGCCAAAAAAAGGGGACTGCTTTCGATTCAGATCTAAGAACGATTGGTAGTAGGAAACAAACCGGGCTAAGAGGAAGATATATAAGATTTTAGGGGAATAGATTGAGTCAACCAAGTCAATGAAAGATGGAACAAAATGAATAATAAATAATCATAATAAATTATAAATAAAAGCAAAGCTAACTTTTAGAGATTTATCATAATACAGCTTCCATACGTGTGACTTCTGAGAAGTTTCACATGGCCTGATCCTCAAATTTGAAATTTCAAAGAAACGCGGTCCTCCTACCCAATTAGTAGTGTGTGGAAAAGACAGCACTAAATCAAAAACATAGTATAGAGAGTAAGGAAATTCCACTGACCCTGTCTCCAAAATGTTGATCAAATATCTTTGAGACCTTCACCCAAAGCTTTGATCAAATTTTCTAAGGGATGGTCCAAACAGAAAAAGAAAATAAAAAATCCCAAGAAAATAGAAACGCCTGCGATCAAATGTCCTAATGAAATTTGGATTAATAAAGCACTATAATTACACCTCTCTTACTTATGTTGCATGTTTAGTGTTCGCCTCTAGAAAAATAAGTTTGAACAAATACTTATTTTCTTCAAAAAATAATAACGTATATTATCAAAACATTTAACGTGAAAGCCAGAGCCAGTAAGCATTGGAGGAGGGGAGGGTGTGACTGTGAGTAAAAAACGCGGAGGAACAGGTACGGATTGCGCGTGACAGTGAGAATGGTGGAGCCTCATAAATAGTCATGTGTCTTATTTTGAGGAATGATGTTAAACAATGTTTTGTATAAAATACCCCTTATGAATAAATAAAATAACTCAGCACTTTTTATCGTGCCAGTCTGTTGTCATATAGTTTTTCTTCTTGATGAATGACATTTATATTTTTACTAAAAATATATGACCTAGCCCACCTTGGATTGAAGTTGAGAAAATGCAAAGTGTAAATTGAGGGTAAGAGTAGAAAAAAGAAGAAAAAGGGGTTTTAAGACATAATAAGTTAATGCTTGCGAAGCTTGCAGGAAGTTCACAAAACAAACAAATAAACAAAAAAGTAGAATAAAGCTACTTTTGACTTTCATACGGAGATCGTCAATCTGCCTACGAAAATGGAATCTCTTTGTTGGCTTTTTGGTATATGAGTCAACCGACCCGTATAGTTATTGGCTTCGTGTTTCAAAAAGTGTAGGGTGCTTTAATGAGGAAGAGAATTCGGGTCAAGTGAGGCCTCATCCATGATAGTTGATCAAGGAGCTGATTCATTACCTATAAAGTTATGAGTTTTAATTCTACTATTGATGTAAGGACTTTGTTAATAAATAATTTGTAAATATTTATATAAGCACTTTTTTGGTCTGAAAATATATCAAAGTGTCTGAGACCTAATTCATCTAAATTATTTTAGAAAAAAAAAGTGAATCCTTTAGAGGATTTTTTTCCGTAACTTATTCCAATGCCCATCATAACAATGACATCTAACCTTTTTAATATTTTTAATCTGTAATTTTGTTATAATAAATATATTTTTTTAAGAAGTGACAGTGATAAAATTATCTTTATTTTGAATTTTGTATATATTAAAAAATTATTTAATTTATAAAAATATTAAATTGAATTAATAATCTAAAATCAATTTAGGTAGTTCTTATTATGATGAGGGTATTGTACATAGTAACTTCACATTTTTATTATTGGTTTTTTTTGGGCTGGTAAAAAAAAGAAAGAGAAGTTTTTAGTACTGTTCGCCTCTGGAAATATAAGATTGAACAAGTACTTATTGTCTTAAAAAAAACATATATTATCAAAAAAATTTAAAGTGAAAGCCAGAGCTAGTAAGCATTATAGTTTTAAAATTTCAAAACTGCAAGTTTTGACAAATTTTATTATATTTATTATTAGCCCTCATTTCCTCTCCTCTTGATAGACCAAAAAGCCAGTCAATTGCGCGCAGAGGATGGTGTGGTGTGACTGTGAGTGAAAAACACGGAGGAATAAGTACGGATTGCACGTGACAGGGAGAATGGAGGAACCTCACTCTGTTTGGATGGGCGTTAAAACCAACAAACGTGTCTTGGTATTAACATTTATACCTTGTTTGGGCAAACTTTTTTTCCGATGAGCTAAGCTAAAATTTGAGCTTTTTTAGTTTGTAACGTGGAGAGAGAAACAAATGAGGATTTAAAAAAAAGAGAATAATATTTAAGTGGATCCTATACTAACCCCATAATTTAATTTTTTGTGTTAGTAATAATTTTTGTAATACTTACAATTTTTTTAAGAAAAATATTTAAGTTAGACTACTTATATTTATTATATTAAGTTCTCTAATTGCATATGATCATGTGTTCATTTTTTTCATGTAAGTTTATAATTAAATATTATTAAATGTAAATATTTTAAAAAAGGACATATGGTCATGCGTGATCGGAGAATTTGACATAATGAATATAAGAAAATTGACGTGAGTAATGTCCTTTTTTTTAATAATGTGTTAACTCTTTTTATTTTTATAATTTTTATTTTTATTTATTATTTTTCTTAAATTTATTAAACTATATATATGAGATATATGTTGATTTTTCAGTCATTTTACATGTAAATTTCCTTTTCTATTACTCATCCAAATAAGTTTCAATTTAGCAAAATGACATTTATAACAAATGAATCCAAACATAAATCACATTATGCTAATTGACTTTTATCCGAACTGATTTTTGCAAAAGTCATATGGAATAAGAATCAATTTTGTCACACCTAATCCAAAAACACCATAAATAATTATTTGCATCGTATTTCATATATAATATTTAATTAATTTTAACTAATTTTTTATTTACATAATTCAGTTGGTTGTCATTTATTATGTTTGAATGAGTTTTTAAACTCAAATTTGTTGACAACATGTTCGAATGGGCATGCGTTTCATTTGCATTAAACAAAATAAAATAACTAATTTTTTTTCTAAAGATGCAAAGGCAAGCAAAACTTGAAAATAGATAGCCTGCAACTTAGTTTTAATTGTGTCCCTTAGCCTTCATTCCTTACTGAAAGTAATTACGTCAACAGAAGTTAAAAGAAAATCGCTCCTAAGTGACCTGTCGGCAAAACGAGTCTACTGGTTGCTCGAATTCCCTTATTTTAGAAAATTTTGTATTGCGTGAGAATAATTTTTATTCATAAAACGTAAAAATAATTTTTTAATTGATTATTAGAGGCATTTAGCCAATGATGTGCAAGTTTTGACGTTTTTAATTATTATTAGCTCTCATTTCCTCTCCTCTGTAATCAAACGAGCTAACATAGAGGATCGTTTGATTTCCATTTTTGAACCTTTTTTAGCCTTTACCAAAAAGCTTGGTTGCGTAAAATGCATATTATTGTACTTTTTCCTATCCTAGTTGGTTAGAATATTTGTTTTGATCTTAAATATAAAATTTTAATCTACTTTATTTTTTAAATTCGTAAATTTTACTTAAACTATCTCTATTTATTGTGAAAAATAAAAAATATGATGCGTGTAATTAACTGAAAGTAAAAATAAAAAAAGCTAAACGATGATATATTTTAAAAGTATATACCGAAGCCAACCCAAAAAGTTCCCGCAAATGTTTCCACTGATACGGATTGCGGGTGACGGTGAGAGATTTTTTCCAGTATTTTTCTTACGTTTAGACTTTAAGAGTCATTGATTAACCTAAAGAAGACGTTATATCATTCAAAATTCAAAAAGTACGGATGAATCTCCCACTATTGGAGCTCTGTAAGAACCTTGATTCACTTCTGGTAAAAAAAAAAAGAACCTTGATTCACTTTTTCTTGTTTGATTTGAATATTTATTTGTTAATACTTATAGTTTATTATAAATTTTATACGTTTTATGTTGATCACCATGCATTGGGTAAGAAGCTGTAACCCCCCCCCCCAAAAAAAACAGAGAGAAAATAATAACAGAGGCCGATTGATTTTAGCTTGAGTAAGATTTGTTCATTCCAGTATCCTTTCGTCGTTAAATGGACTTAAATGTATTCACAATTTGAACAGTGAAAACAAGAGTGAAGAAAATAAGGGGAGAAAAACTCTCCAATCAAATACTCTCCCTAATTATAAGTCTCAATTCTTCTAAATACACATAAAAGCATATGTGATTTTATGTGATTTTGGTCTTTTATAGGAAGTATTCTAGGAAAAATGTTTTAATTATATCCAGAACTTTGTGATGAGACTTATAACTGGGGACCAAAACAAATCTAAAAGCTAGGACTTATGTTTAGAGAAAGAGGCTCTTCTCGGCTCCCCTCCTTTCCCCAAATCATTGTCGTTTTGGGTGTAAAATGAGGGGTACTGTCTTTTTTTTTTTTTAATAACATCTAGCATCTTGAAGTACTCTTCTGCTCTTTAATATAAAATCTATTTAACTAATTTAATTAGATTAAAAAAGTGATATAAGTTAGTTAATTATAAGAAATATGATATATTTTTCTTAAAACACCATAATCATCTTCTTTAATATCCTCCTTTCCTTTTTTACTTGATTATGATTGAGGGAATATTCATACGGGTAATTTAGAAAAATTATGAGAAATTGGTCTTACATTTAGAACCAAAATCAACTCAATAATTAGGTCTTATATTAAAGACCGGAGAAGTATTATTTAGTAACTCCTAATATCTTAAAATAATTTTAAATAGGAGATGGAGAGTCAGGAACACACGAAGAACCAGAACTTACAATTCAAAAGGATAGGCTGCATTTCACTAATATACAAAATGATAATACTTATACCCAAAAAAAAAAAAAAAGTAATCACTGCACATTGGTCCTGAAATAGATCCTCTGTTACAAGTGAAGGTCACACACAGTCCGCGAAAGAGAAAGGTGAGATATTTGCGCTTCGGAGAAAACTGCTGAGCGTGATGTCCGTTGTTAAAGCAGTGACCAAAGTGCGAATGCTCTGTTGAAGTA